ATCGGTTCTTTTGAGCGGTTCATTTAAATTAAGCGGTTCAGAAAATATTCATCGGTACTTTTACGTCACACCCGTACCCAAGTGAAAATCTTTAAACAATATATGCCGATGTATGCAACGTATTTCTTTATACTGTTTTGATTAAGTCAGCCTACATGAGGCTAATTCACAGCATTCAATTTCGATGTGTTTTATAATTCACACTAAGTGAGGCTAATGTAACATGAAGTCCTGTTTCATTTGCTTTTCTTTGCAAGTTGAAAATACCACTCAGGCAAATGCTGATTTTCTTATTGCTATCATTAGGCTATTTGCAGAAATAACCTACTTTGGGTGTAATTAAGCATGTCTCTCTTGTTTCTAATAAAGTTGTGATTACAGTGTAGCCTAACACAAACCATATACAGTACCCACCGTTAAAAAAAGACAGCCGCCGTTTTGCCTTAAATCTCGTTGTCGGACAAGATAACTTATCAAAACTTTTCATCTGTAAATAGCACCTATGCACATCCACAATTCTGTCTTTTGATATTTTCTTTTTCTCTCTCTTTCTGAGAACCACTCCGACCGGATCAGACCAATTCGCGAAAGAATCGACCAGTCCAATTGGTGAACCGGTTCAAAAGAACCGACTCAAAAGAAGCGAAAAGAGCGATCTGAGGAGGAGAGGCGCATCTGGAGACAATAGAAGGCAATGCAGAGCTGCGCTTTGTCGCTCTGATCGAGGGCTGTGCCATCACAACACAGAAATACAGAGATGATGGAGCGCTGAATCTGGATATATTATCCCGTTATCTTGAACTGTGAGATCTAAGAGGAAAGATGAATTCTGCTGAAGCGGCGGAGGACGGACCCAATGATTCAGACACGGATGCCTTCTTCAAAGCAGGTACGATGAGAGGAGAGATGGAGAGACCGTGATCTCTGTAGAAACGCTGGCTCATATTACAATTATCGGCGCACTTGTCTTATTTTTCATCCTTTCTTCAACTCCCAGTTACCTTCGCAATGTAGGCTATTCCTCCTTAATTTACCAAGTGCTCATTATATTTATTTTCATAGATATGTAATCATATTTTATTCAGTTAATGCCTTTTTTTCTCATTTATTAAATTTTGTTATTTTATTTCGTTTATTTGGCGCTGTTTTGGCAATGCAGTTTTTGTTTGTAAAGAACACTAAATTGAAACTGCATGCACTGAGAAAGAGATAGACCTTTTAATAAACTCAAAAGGAGATTGAAGAAAAAGATGAAAGCCGAAGTTAAATTGAAACTAATGGGATACATCATGGCATTGTGTGGTTTAAGGATGCTTGAGGTGCAGGTTGTGTGATGGGGATGCTGAGCATTAGGACCGTTATCCTGTTGGGACTGACAGCTACAATGAGCTCTAGCCCTGCTCTGAAAACCAAGCCCAGCCCATATCTCGTGAACAGCACCATATAACTACTTGGTAACATCTCATGCATCATTTCTCAGGATTGTGGTTATCAATTTGCATGCTGTAGTAGACAAAATGGCTGGTTCGTTGCCATATATTAAGTCTGACGAAGTGTCAAATCACTGTCACTTTTGTGTACTTAACTGGGCTTCGTGCTGGGCTCATGGGACAGTGATTGGGAAGGAGCTAATTACAAACACACCTCTGTTTAATGTGTCATTTATCTACAAGCTCATTGCTTGTGAGTGTTGGAAGTGCCACAAAGTTTTTGCTGGGATGTGTGCTTTACCCCAGTTTGAGGGAGGCTTTTATAGCTAAATTGCTTAAAAACCAGCCTTTTCTATAAGCTCTCGGTCTTTGAAAGATTAGTCAATGAATTCAGGAGTTTACAGATTTTAGGTCTGGCGATTCTGTAATTGTTGCCACATGCCCATTTGTAACAAGCAAATTCCTTGATGTATTTCAACCATTTATGTTGCTCTTATTGTTTTTGCAAAGTGAACATAAATATTTATAATGTGTATGTTGAGTGCAGTTGTCATATATTAGCAACGATGTCACAACAGCCCTTGACGTACAGGGTCAGAATAGAGGCAAGAGCTCGTATAATGTGCAGTGTTTCTGGAGTTTACAGAGAGGAAATGGCTGGTAGAAATGCTAATGTTAAAGTAAGTGGTCCAGGCTGTAAGACCCCTGCTGAGGAGTGATGCATAAACCCTGCAGCTTTACACAGCGGGCTATAGGTCAGGATTCTGGTACACTACACTCACTCTCTCATACACACACACACACACACACACACACACACTCACTCACTCACAC